GTTAGAGGGGTTAGGGAAGCTTGCCAGAGCATGGAAAGCATAACAACTGCATTTAATAACAATCAAGATACTCTTATAAATATTTGCATGTGCTGCTTCAGAGTCTACTACATGGTCATTCATGTGCTGCAGCTCCAAAGATGAGGAGAGGGAAAAAAAAAAGTGGGCGAGAGGAAAAGGGCACTCCATGTTTTGTAGCTGCTGTAATAGAGAATGGGCAAAGAACCAGCAAGAAAAGAAAAAGGAAAAGAAACCCTTCAAAGTTTAATAAACACAAAAGAGAATAAAAATAAATCTTTGGAGCATTTATTACAAGCCCTTGATGGAAGGATTAGATTGAAGCTCTCAGCCTTTCCAGTGTGGGTGTATGTGTGAAGTTGGCCTGTCTGGCCTCTTCCAACGAGAAAAGTTGTTTATATTTCCTAACTTGGGCTGTGCATATAATTGATTTTTTTGTTGTTGTTTCAATAGCAGAAATGAAAATTCAGAAGGGAAAAAAAAAGCCTCGTTTGTGTATAATTGAATTTAGGTCTTTTTCCTCGCCAGAATGAAAGCTCAACTCTCAGAAGAGCTGTGTCAAACAGTGTTTTGTTTCTTCTGAAATGTCAGTACATGCAGTACTTGTGAGGAAAGCTGGAAATGCAGGGCTTAGTTCATCAAGCACAACTGTGGAAGGCAAAAGTGTCACCCTTTTATGCAGGACATTCCTGATTTGGGGACTATCTCCAGAATGAAAAAAACTCCTTCTGTTCCCACTTTTGGTTTAAGGGAGCTTGACTCCAGTCCGTTCTCCTCCCAGGAGTAGTGCCTGGGGGGTCTACATGCTGTTCTGGACAGTTGGTCAGAGGATGTGTTCAGTCTCTCTTGTTGATGACCCTCCAACCTGGAGTATTACTCATTTTGTTGAGTATTTTGGGATAAGTCTCTTGCAGTGTGTCCATCAATGCTTTTCTGCTCTTTCAGAGTAGGGATGCTTTCTGTCCTAGTTGCTGGCACAGGAGCTTAGACGATGCTGGACATTAACAAAGTAAGAAGCACAGAAACCATGATGTCCTTATGCACTTAAACACTCAACAACTGGCAGTTGGGACTGGCTTGTGTAAAGCAACTGATGAAGTCTCCACTTGTGCAAGGAAAAAAAAAAAAATGCTAAACTTGTGATGCTCAGTGTTCAGCAGACTAAAGGGAGGAGGAGGGATGCTGCCTTCACCTTCTCCAACACTTGTCTCAGCTGTACTGTGATGATTGTGATTATGATTATTACAGTTGGAAGTCTTCAGTGTTTTGAAGATTGAATTAATAATTTAAAGATGATAAAAATGGAATCTTCCATTGCATTTACTATTCCAACCCTCCAAAAGAAAAGAAATCTGTGTTTTCCTAGCTACGGGAAACATATTGATTTAATTCCACTCATTAATGATAATGGTTCAAAGAATACTTAAGGAGTCTAGTCTGCAGCAGGATAACTGTGTTTGAAGGCTAACGTGGTCAGAGTCATCCTGGCGTCTACTGGAGACATTGGACCAAAAACAAAGGGGAGTCCAGAAGTGTCCAACTGAGTCTGAATTGATACAACTGTCAGGTTAAGGTGGAGTCACAAAAAGAGATAAATTGCAGCATCTGAGATCACTTATAGGCTAATCCAAAATCTTGTAGACTCCATAGGGTTCTTTCCATTCCCTTAAAGAGAGTTACAAGTCTCAACTCTCAGTCTTAATGTTGGTTAACTTTCACATAAACCCCAATTCTGCAGTCAGCCGTTCTTTTTCACAGGAAGGGTTCCAGCTGGTAAAAAAAAAAATATTTTTTTCAGCTCTCTACAAATAATGCCTTTTTCTGAATTGTCTTCCTGTGGGTACTGTAATGAATGATAGAATAAGGAAACAAAATTTCTTATGTGGGTCTTTGCAGAATATAAAAATAACTTATAAGAGAGGTGAAACATCTGTATTACAAGAATTCCTTCTTGTTTGTGGTGAGTGTCCCAGTCCTGGCTTACAGTGGAAGGTAAACACTTGTTCACTGTATATATGAATGCACATAATGCAAACACAAAAACGTGCACACTGAAAGAATATTCCTTCTTTGGCTATCTTTTAGATTTGAAGGAGGGGAAAAATGTGAATGAAGAAATGATTCAGGAAAATGTGTTCAGATACATATTCACAGGTTTGTAGTATACAGTATCTAAAATACAGAAACCGATAAGAAAGGCTAAAAATACAGCACAAGAAAGTTCTAGAAGTAAGTTAGAAGCTAAATATAAATCAAACTGATAGTTAAACAGGACTTTTCAATCTGGAATAAAGTCAAGACGGGCAGGGTTTGTCTGTGCCAGGGCAAGTTGCTGGCTGCTAGTTTTGCCTGTCCACAGGGAATGAAATGGTAGGTTGGTGCCTCAAATAAACGAGAGGGAAGGACAACTTACAACTCATTCTAGAAGCATCAATCTTATATATGTGTACATACTATTATGCCAAATTATATTCCTAGTAGGATTAGGTTTGGCTGAAGAACAAGTAGTAGTCTTGGAGTTTCCTATGGCACAAAAATAAATTGAGGAGATTATTTCTCTCTTCAACGAGGCTATAATCTCTGAACCAAGTAGCTTTTATAAGAAGTTGCAAAATTTGTACTGAAATTAAGATCATTGTTGCACAACTTTTAAGCTTTTCTTAGAAGACCTTAACTTTTGAGAGGGAGTAGCACTAATGTGTTGCTCATGGGAGAGAGGAGCAGTTCTCATGCAGGGGTAATTTCCATCTGTTTTTCTTTTGAGTTCTCACTAGAAGTTTGTAACTGTTTTCTGTCAGTAAGCCTGGTAGGCAAGAATACTGATCATGGTGCTTTGAGGTTCATTTTCAAGCACTGCAGATGTGAAAATTTGAGAACCTTCTTTTTGTTTCTTTAATTAAATAGAATCATAAGGAAGCCTGGGGCTTCTTGTTTGTATTATTCCTCTGACCTGTTTGATTAGATGGAGGGTCTGTTTTGGGAAGTACTCTTTCAGAAGGTTTTTTAAGTATTTTGAGAACCTGTCATCTCTCACTTATATTACATCTGCAGCTGAGGCAAACATAATTTATCATCAAAGATTTTCTCATAGGTAAGATTATTTTTAGGAGTTTTTACCTCTGATAATGTAAAAAGGGTTTGGCTCAATTATGTAGAGGAAGTGTGTTTGTGGATTTTTTGAAGACAGAATTAATTTGGTTTATTCCTTGTGTGACTAGCTTGTACTTGGTACTTACTCTGTAGTCAGTTGAATTTAGGATTGTTCAGAGGTGCAGCAAATTGGTTATTGAATGTATAAGTGCAACTGGTGTTGCCTCGTGTAGCCGGGAGCTGCTGCATTGCTCAGAAGTTCTGGTAATAGCAGCCAGTCTAGAAGCACTAAATATTTGGAAGAAGGTCTGAAGTTACTGATATGTCTTATTGATATGAATAAGTGTTATTAAGGATTCTTTCCAACTACCTTTAACTGTTAGTAGTTAGAAATAAAAGTAAATGTAGTGGGTTTGGCTCCTCCCTTCTCTTTACATAGAAATGATAACTTGTGTGTGTTCTATCTATTAAGAATTGGGTACCTTCCAGATTAAGGTGGTTTATTTGATTGATAGATGCCTGGGTAGCCGAGAGAGGGAGCAGGGCAAGAGGGACAAGGTCTGGGTCTTTCATGGGCTCTGAGCTGCTCACCTCCCTGATGTTGGATCTGTCATCTCCTGCTGCTACATGACAAATCCAGAGCTAGGTGACTAGTGGGAAAACTCCATGTTTCATAATTACTCTCTCAATTCTTCTTGGTGGCATGGCCCCAGGAGACCCTATGGGCTTTTCTGCCTCAGCTGAAAATCCTCCCACACCCTCCAACTACAATTTATTGTCTTTGTCTTTTTTTTTTTTTTTTTTCTTTGTCCACCTCAGTTACCACACTGTAAGAGAAGAGGAAGACTTTCCCTCCGTTTGAATGAAGATTTGTTATCGAGGTCTTTGAGTCATTTCATCTCCTCTCAGAATCTGACTCTGTGGTTCAAAGAGAGCCTTGCCAGGCAGTGGGGCAAGGAGGGTGCCCCCCACACAAGGGAGGATGGCCAGGGAGGTTGAAAGGCCTCAGGTGATCGCCTGGGTAGCTCAGGTTGTGCAGGAGTGCTTTGTTGCTCAGTGAGGTTTGCAGTTGGGAAGGAGGAAGAGACTGTTTTGAAATCCAGAGTGATCTGTTTAACTCTTATTGAAGACTTGAGTCCATTTTTCCAACTGTTTTTCTGCTTTGCCCCCTAATATATAGTGAGAGATGTTTAACATTTATGGCTTTTACTGCTTCCAAGTGGTCAAATTCATGTAATTCTTTTGATAATATCTAGTATCTGCTTGCCTTTTCCCTCCCTTTCTTCTTCATATTCTTTTCCTGCCCTGTCACTATAATCAGAATGAATATGTTGTTCCAATAAAATCCCTGAATAACTAAATAAGAAACAAAATCTGAAACTGGCTAATTTATGCTCCATAATCTAGAGGGAAATGGGCTTCAGAGAACATGCAGATCAGATGAGTTGTTGTTACTTGTCATCTTAGTGGATCCCTGTGAACTCTGTGCAAAACTGAAGGCGCTTGCCAGATAACAACTGCTGTGATTTTTTCCCAGTTTATAAGCATCTGGGATTTTCCACCAGTATGTTGAAAGAGGGGAGGTTTAAATGTACGACCTGAAATAGAATTGGAAATAGTTGCTAATCTCTATTAATATGGTATTCCTATAATCAAACACATGTGGGGTTGATGTGTTGGTTTTTGGTTTTTTATTGTTAATAATATTAAATTGGCCATTGGAAACTGAATCATGCTACAGATATTTCCCTTACTGAGCCTGTCTTGTATTATTACATTATTTGAAGGAACAAAGTCTTCTACCATAGGAATAAATAATAAAATCACACTTCTTGCCTTCTTGCAGATGCCATCCCACCAAGCTACTACAGCCTTTACTTCCGAATTGTCAGATTTGATGTCTCAGCGATGGAGAAGAATGCCTCCAACTTGGTGAAGGCTGAGTTCAGGGTCTTCCGCCTGCAGAACTCAAAGGCACGGGTCTCGGAGCAGCGGATAGAGCTGTACCAGGTATGATGGCAGCTCACACGTGTCAGCTCCTTGTCTTTCTGCAGCAAATCTGCCTTGTACCTGTCTAGCACGTGGAACAAACCACAAGGAGAAGGGATTGAATCCCATCTTTCCAAATTAGCTTCTTACTTCCCATGCCTTTTGTAGAAAGGGCTTCATTAACAATTGTATGAAGCTGAAATGTGCTAAATTTTTCTAGCAACAGTGCCTCAGGACTCCAGAGTTTCAGCATATAGCAATAAATGACAGAGCAAGAACATAAAACAAGTCAAGGATCTCTGTCTCCCAACACCTGGCTTGTACTACGGTTTACTTAGAAGTCATATTCCTCTGTCTGGCCTGTGTTCAGGAGAAGCCTGTTAACTGTTCCTCACAGAAACAGCATTGTTCTTAATTGAGTTTCAAAGCTTAGCAGCTTCAGACCTGGCTTCTGTATAGAATGAGTTAAAGCAAGGAGGTGGACAATTCAGGGATTAAGGAGAGAGGAAGAAAACAATACCATCACTCTCACTCCTGAGTGTTGGTAAGATTGATATCATTTAGGGACTTTAAAGCCACTCTCATAGAGTGTGTGCTTGTGCAAATACTGTCTAGAGCATTTTTCATCCAAAGCATCCAAAAGGGTCTCAGTGTCCAGCAGTTTATACTGAATAAAACTCATGTGGTTGTTACAGCAACCCTGGACTTGTTCTGCTGAAAACTCTGCAAGATAGGATACCACCTTTTGTAAGTGTATTGAGCCCCTCTTCGGCTTATTTCTTGCTGCCCTCATTAGCTATGCCTGAGCACTGCACTATAGAGTCTGGTTCAGATCCAGTGGGTGCAAATTTGAGCTGGTCTTCTCCCTTATTTTCCATGTTCACCTTTTCCTGCCTGGTCTGGTCAAGTGCAAGCTAAACATGGACAGAGGAGGGGAAATTTGGCTTCATTAAGCCAGCTTTAGAAACTGAGAGCAGGAAAAGGTGCCCTGGACTGTTTAGACATTGTTTAAATGTAGGAGAAGCATGATTCCCAGTGGTCACTGGGCACTTGGTATCACAACTGCAACCTGACTGCCTTCATGCCCAAGGACAGCCTGACAGAGAAGTTGAGTAAATAATGTATAATTTGTTAAAAGAGAAGGCTAGGAATCTTTAGCGAGAGTTGCTGATATTGTCTACTTACAGCAGTGGTGATGGAGAATTACACCGCGAGTCCCTGTGACACTGCCACACCAGCCTGCCAAAACAATTGTATGTTTTGGCTTGACCTCGCTGTTCAGACATCCTAAAAGGAGCTGATGGCATCTCTGGGCTTTCTGTTGTTCTACTTTTGAGAGCTGTTAGTCAGCCACCTGAAAGGAGTAGAGCTGTGGTTGCCTGAGCTCGGTTCATTGCCTTTCCGTGATTGAGGAATGTGGGACACAAAGGATTCAGCAGAGGTAGGGAAGAAAGGGCCTTTGCTTGGCTGGGATTTCACCTTGTGATGAGAAACAGCTGGAGCTTATTTGAGAGAGCCTGGCTCCAGCAAGCCTGTGCCCATGGAAATGACTGACACCTGCATCCAGGGCAGGTACTTGGGTCTTTTGGATAAATACATAGCTGGGGAGTAAAGCAGTTTCTTTTTTAGGCTGGGTTGGGTGTACCAAGTGAAGTGTTAGGCGAGTAATGAGTGCAGGTTAGTGTAGGATTGAGGTCTTTTCTCCACCAAGTAACAGGCAAGCCAAAGGCAGTGAGCTCGGGGTGTGTGTTTGTGCCAGTCATGCTTTAGGCATGTTGCTTTCCTCCTTTGCCTGCAGAGAGGCAAGCTGTCTCTGGAGCATTTCCTTTGCAGAGCACCTATTAAAATGATAAAAGCTGCCTGTTAGTTCCTCTTTATGCTTTACTTCTTACAAGCTCCTATATCCTTCTGCCAGGTTTTTTTTCTTCCCTGTTTTGGTCATACTTACTTCTTGCAATCTGGTATACGGCTCTCCCCAAAACCTTGTATGGAGGTGTTGTCTTAGCTCCATGATAGCCAGTCCGAACTGTGTGGGTTCCCTGTGGGTCCTGCAGGAGCATGAGAGTCACTAAATACTCCTGCATCTAATCTCCATCTCAATGCATGTGGTTACCATGCAGTGTCTAAAAAGCAATTGCAGGGAGAAATTGAAGAAGAGTCCTATGGGCCCCTTCCAACCTGACATGTTCTGTGATGTACTCTAGGACAGTGTTGTAAAAAGCATCTTAAAACTTAGTACATGAATTTTAGAGACTAGAAAGAAGAAAATTAATGAGCTGAAGGTAAGGAAGGCCAAGTAGGAAGCACTGGTGCCACAGAGATGCTAGAGGAGCTTCTGGCTCCATAATCATAGGTTGGTAGGGGTGTCTAGCAGCAGAGGAAGGTACAAAAGTGGGAAGGAAAGGGGGAGAATGAGGAAGAGGCTTGTTTCAGTTGAAGTGGCAAATATATTCTGTAAGGGCTGAAGACTTACTGGAGTATCTTTGCTCCATCACAAAAAGCTGTGTGTGGAGAGCAAGCCTTGCAGAGGAGGTTGCTGGAGGAGTTGGCACATGCAGCTGCCGCTCCTCCTGCGTGCATCCTGCTTTGTGAGATATGTGCTGGGCTTGCCAAGGCTGTTGTGCCCAGAAGGAACAATGTGGGTTTTTGTCTTGCGTAAGCAACATTTAATTATTAGGGTATTTTTCTTTTTCCTCCCATCAAGTTTCGGGTTGCCTAGTGTTTTGTTTTGTTGAGGAGAACTTCTTGATGGGGGGTTTTGAAATTCCTTTCATACCTGCAGTTTCAGGGAACGGTTGTCCCCGTGTCCCCTCAACTTTCTCAGTCAAGCAGGAGGAGAGGGGCAGAAGTCTTCTGGAAAGAGTCAGAGCTCTCTTGTGGTTCACTGGGAAAGTGGCCATCCCTGAACACATGCAAGTCTCTTAGCTACTCTCCAATCTCTGATTTAGTCCAGTGCCATTTTAGTAGTAGTGTGTATACCACTGATGCAGAAGGCACAATATTGCTCTGAAGGACTGTTTTAGAAACGGCTAGAGACAGATGTGCAGGGTAAATGGAAAAAATAAGCAAGCAGATTATAAATATTTTGTTTCTCCTCCTGATTCTTTCTTTGTGTGGTCCTCTGACCTTACAGATCTACCCCTTAAAATGAAAAAAGAAATGCAAGACTGCACCTTTTCGGCTAAGCTTTCCTCAGGCTATACTTGGCTCCCTTTTCCAAACCACATCAGAAAAGGACTTTGTGTTTTCCTGCAGCCTTTGTTTGCACTGACTCTGGGAAAGCAGTCTGGGGCTGCTTGGCGTGGTGAGCCAGGGCCATGGCCTCTCGCTCCTGGCCCCCGGTGCAGCAGCAGCAGGACCCTGTTTCCACTTCAGAGGCGGGGTTGGAGCAGAGAGCACCCCATCGTATTTGTGCTGGGAACGAGGGGTTGTGGATCTCTTTGCCATGCCTGCTGCCCCCCAGATTTCTGCAGGCAGTAGGTCCTGGAGATTAATTCTCATGGATGTGCCCTGGATGTGTCCACAATGGCAGTGGGCAAATGGTAATCTCAGGAGCAGAAGGAGTCTCTTTAATGTCTGTTTTCACCGAGAATACTTCTCTTGGTATTTAAGGATTAGTCAGCCACATCTGTGTGTTCCTGTACAGATGGGAAGCGCAGTGCACATATTAAGTAGTCTTAGGATGGAAAACGATAAAACTCACAGAAGTAGGAATTAAGTTTCTTTTATAAGGCTGGTATAAAAGCTTCTGTCTCTTCTTGGCTCTGGTTAAGTGAAGCCACAGAGAATTAAATTCTTTCAAGGCACTGTTTTTCTGTTGTTTCTTCTGCTTGGAAAATGCCAGTTAATCTGCTGGTGGTGCTGCTGATCATCAGCACTTTGGAGAGTGGGAAGCCGGAGGGAAGGAAGGAAGCGGCGAAAGCTCAAATGAAGCAAGCGCTTTTCCTGCGCTTCTCTTTCTGTCCTTCCCCTGTGCTGCCTTCACTCCATGTGCTTCTCAACATGCACCGAGACTGCAGAAAATATTAAGAGGATAAAGTACTTCGGGGGGAAGGAGGAGGAGTAATATTAAATAAACAAGTTTTAGCATCTTCCAGTGGCCCTTGCTATGTTTTTAAAGATTTACGCCAAATGCAGGCTTTATTGGAATTTGATCAGATAAAGCTCAGTTGTTATGGGAATGTCTTTGTTCATCAGTTTTCTTGCCTGCTTTGAAGACTTCATCACATCTTTTTTTTATTAAGGTGCTTCTGTATTTATGAATAAAGTCCCCACACACTTTAAAAAAAGCTTGTCTTTTATGAATAAGCATTCCAAAAAATAAATAGGCGCCACCGCAAAGCTGGACTAGTAGAAACCCTTGCAGGGCGAAAAGCCATTGTTCAGAGAGCCTTGTGGTATTGTTTTTAAGGTATTTTTATTATGTGCAGACGGTCAAACAATAACAAGTAATTATGACTTCCTATGGAAGCAGTGCCATGTTTTGTTAACACGTCATAAAGCATCATGAAAGATGCAGCCAAAGCGCTGGGTTTTATCGTCATCGCTGTCCAAGGCTGCTGTGGGTGGGGGTACCTGAGAGGCTTCAGGTTGGGTAGGGGTAAAAGTTGCACCATAAGATGTATCAGAGTGTAAGGTTGGAGCAAAAAAACCAGTGCTAAGTTAAAGCCCTGGGGGAAAATCAGATTGTGATGAAGAATTTGTAGCAAGGAGGATCAGACCTTTGGTCTTTCCATGTCAGAGAGGGGCCTGGTCCATGCCAATGGTTCCTGTGGAGCTTACTCAGGGTCTAGGAGGAACTGCCTGCCCTCCAGACAGTGGTAACCCCATTTCTTTAAGGGCCTCTCCCTGCTTGGAGGTATGAGGGGGAAGATGCTGTGGAACATATTACCCCATTATGAGTCAGATTTAAATTTAAACCACAGTCGGTTGTTCAAATACTTTCAATTCAGACAGTGTTTTGTCTTGTTTTTTCAGTCAGGGAATACGTTTAAAGCGAGCTACTATAGGTTTGGGCCAAA